CCCGGTATGAAATAAAGCTCAAATTAATAAATACGCATAAGTTATGTACTATTTATTCCCCGGAACGGCGGGAATAATGAAATATCTCCCCAGTGGCATATGTGGGGCGCTTTGCGTGCCACTGGGGAGATGTTTCAATTATTTCCTCGACACAGTGGAATAAAAGAGTTATTTATCGTTTCATATGACGACACGACGGAGACTCGTATTACAAATCATTTTTATCACATTTCTTTGTCCTCTTTACGTTTTTAAAATTTTCGGGGCAATAACAAATAAAAAACCTGGGTGATAACTAATAAGCTGGGAAATAGCTAATAAGAAAAAAAAATAAATAAATATGTGATAAAAATTGTGATTAATAACACGTAAATCACGTCATGCGATCATAAAGAGACGGTGAATAAAAGAATTTATCAGATATACTTTAGAGAATAAGTAGATACACGCAAAATGGAATAAATGTGAGATTATTAATAAACCCGAACTCATTAAAGAATCTGCAAGATAATGAACCAAAATTTTGATTTACGGATGACTAACCCGAACACACTAGAATCTCCTATTAAAGGGCTTGTGCCTACTCAAGTTAAACGTTAGTAATCAAATTTTATTTAAATATACCGTAATAAAGTAGTTTTGGACAAAAATCTTTCTAGTTATCTTCACTCTACAGTATAATTTCGTGTGGCCCAATAAACGGTAGTATATTTTGTCTTCTAAACAAAGCATGCAAGGAATAAGATTTTTAGAGATTATTTTGCATAGTGAAGTTAGAAATGGCTTTCGCTATTATTGAAACGTTACGTTCTTAAAAAGTACTTCCGGGAATTGATTGGCATAAACCAATTAGACGAATGTTCCATTCCCCCAAAAAAGTCTGATTCTACCAGATTCTTATCAGATTGATTTGTTTGATCGGCACATGTACACGTCGAAAATCACGAAGTTGATTACGTGTTTTGAAGATCTCAAAACAATGAACGTATCAACAAAAAAAAATATATAAAGGCTGCCTTTTCTCTTGCTGTTTTTTATACTTTTCATTTATATTTCTTTTGTTATATATATATATATATTTTTTTTAAACGGGTTTTACTTATTATTATTATTATTATTATTATTATTATTATTATTATTATTATTATTTATATTATTGTTATGTATTTTTATTTTATTTTTTTTTTATTTTTTTTTTTCGTTAGTCATTACGTTACGCTCTTTACCTTTTGGTTAACAGATGAGTATTAATGTTATTAAGTCCATCAATTAATTAATTTTTTGAAAAAAAAAAATCCAAACATTGCTCCAAGGGTTTATGTTATACCATTACTGTGTCGATGTGCTATATTCTGGGGGTATTTTAGATTGTAGTCAGACCTCTCTAAATGCACGCTTTTGGGTAGTGAATTGATCCGTCTAAAAAATCTTCACCCGGGTGAAAATCGGGTCAGCTTCAAAGCGTCACCTGTCGAGTTATTTGACGGGTCAGTATCAGTTTAAAAAAAACATACCTGTGTTCAAAATTATGATTTGGTCATTACGCGTACGGCAATCTTAAACGAATTATGCGGTTTCTAAATTAAGGTTAGGGATTGAAACCACGAAAAATTAAGCAGGAGCCACTTAATTATATGTTACATGATTACAGTCGTTTTTATTACAGCTGTTATCATTATTCCTGGGGCACCTTATGAAAACTAACCGAATAATTATTAGACGATTCGATAAGTTATTGATTTCGGCATGATTAGTACAATGTTTATTATTTACGGAGATAGTCTAAAGCCAGGTATGTGTGTATGTACGTGGGTTTTAAATTGGTTACTAATCGATTTGTAAATTGAAGCTCACGTAGAACATATAGCTTTAAACAACCTCTATTTACAATGCAACAATGACAATTATTATTCGATAATGACCAGATAATCAATATCAATAAAACAAAAAAATTTTAGGTTATAAGTTCGAATACTTAGGTGTTAGCAAATCATCAATAAGTCGAGTTCTTAAACAATTTTAAAGATATGGTTATGTTGAAAGACTTCTGCCACTTGTAAGAAAACCAGTCTACTAAACCTGAATGATATATATAAAATATCTTAAGACTTTAATTGGAGAGAAGCCTGACTGGTATTTTTTATGAGTTACAATCTGAGATAGAACTTTGATAACAGAGATTGTCAAGTTTAATATAGGTACGTACACACAAACGCTTAACATAAATTTATTCAAATGTATAATACGTACGTACGTACGTATATGCCGAAATCAATAACTTATCGAATCGGCTGGATAATCATTCGGTTAATTTTTCATAAAGTGTCTCAGGAATAATGATAGCAGCTGTAATTTTGGAATATCTGGTAACAAATTGACCAAATGATTATTTGGCCGATTCGATTAAGCTAGTGATTTCGGCACAATATATTCAATAAAATTGCTATATATGTTGTAATTTAAGATCAGATGACTAATATAAATATAATACTTTTAAAGAAAATTTTAGAGCTTACTGTATTAGTTCGAAAAAAATTGCCAAAACTTAGACGTCAGTTCAAAAATTGCATATCTTCTATACGCGAGTTCTCAAACATATTCAAAAACATGGATATTTAAATTTGAAGTCAGATGGTATATGCGGTGTGTGCATTTAGTGACTGTTCATTCTGTTGGCCAATCGACGGGTTACCCGCGGGTTAACCCACCCGGGTTGTAATGATTCAACCCGGGTCAAAACACTACACTTTGATAATATGCATTTAGAGAATAATAAAAAAAAAGTATATTTATAAAGGTCAAGTATATACAGTATTTGGGCCAGAATCTGCGCGTGTATTTAGAGAGGGTGTGCACTCATTTTTTGTTTCTTTTTTTACTGAGTACTCGTCGTCGATTAGTTGGTATTAATTAAAGAAAATCGGACGAAACAAGATCTATTTTCGAAAATTTATTTACGATTAAAAGCTATAATGAATATACTGTAAATATATGTATATAAAGTTTTTTATTAAATAAAACCGATAAATAAGCTTTTTTATTAAATAAAAATGATAAATAAATTTTTTTTTTATTTTAGTGTAAGTTTTATTTTATTACCGTTAATTATAATCAATAAAAGATAATTACTCAAAGATCGATAATTTTAGTTAAATTACAGGTTACCCTCGTTAATATTGGATTAGACAATTATGTTGATATTTGCAAAGGTTGATAATGGCGAGATAGTTTTTATATGGCCTAAGCCGATTTTTTCTTAATAAGAGGTTGATATTAACGGGGGTAGCCTGTATGTGATTTGCTTTGTAATTGTGACGACTTAATTATAATCGCAAGCTTAAAAAACAGAATAAACTTAATACGTATTGTAGTATGAATTTCTAAGTCGGTAAACTTATAACGGTTATTAGCAAAATAAGTATGTATATACGCACGGTATCAAAACAAATAGTTATAAATGAAAACTACCATCAAAAAACTACTCTAAACAAACCTTAATCATGGAAAGCCTCGACCTAGACTTGGTCCGAGTAATTGGAGTAATTGAAGTAATTGGAGTTATGACGATTAGACTATTATTATAGATTACCTGTCAAGTTATTAGCTTAACAATTACTTATCGGAACGAAACACTATTTGAGACTTTAAATGTTTGAACTCTGCTACTTTATTCAAGATAAATAATTGGGTTTTTAAATACATTTTGCTACTATTTGAACTCGCTAAGATCGAATTTCTAATCAACCATAATAGAGAACTTAATCTACTTTATAATCCATGATAAGTTTATTTGGATTCTATCCATATTTTAAAATTTTTCATACTACCGCTTTTTCAACATTTTATGTACTTTCGAAATTTACTCGGAATTCTAATTATCAAGCAGACCATTATCACAAACAACTATATGCTGCATTCAGTATTCCCTAAAATAGTACCCCTAGATTAATACCTTCAATACCATCACGCGAAAATTCTGACTTATATCCGGTTATAAACTAGGCTTGCAAGATTAGTAATGTTCAATAAAAACGTATCTCTGCCTAAAAGACTCTGAATTGTACCCTCCTCGTGACATAGCACCCTCCGAGCACAAATCAAGTTAATTGAGGTGTTTTTTGATTTATGCCCGAGTACTGAATGCAGCGTTCTACGGTAATCGCCACAAATTAATTTTTACTAAATTCTAGATAATTGAATACGATTTGAAAATTAATTAATAGCGCATCTTATATTTTTAAACAGGCTTCATCCTCTAAACTCACTGCAACATCAACAACACATACCTTGTTTAATATAACAGCAAATCAGGTTTTAGATAATCACCAGTTTCATCAGCATCTAAAAAGATATTAAACTGTATATACATATAATTATATATATATATATAATCATAAGATTTTATTTATTTTATTTTATTTTATTTTTTTTATTATATTTGTAGGCCGAGCAGGCCTAAAATTTAAATTAATCGAAATGAACCAGGTCGGCAAAACATTTTTAAAATTAAAGCGAATCGGAACGGGCCACAAAAATAGGCAATTCGCGGGTCCCCACAGTGAAGTACCTGAACGATACTCCACTGAGTAACATCAAGCGAACGAAAGTTTATAAATTGAGCAAAATACCACTCTTAAGAGTTTAACTCTACGACATTACGATTCGAATTAAACCCAGCAATAAAAGTCACCAAACTTTTTCAGAATCGTAACAAGCGCTTGAAATGCAACTTTAGGCAGATGCTAATTTTAATAACGACAGTAACAAGCGCAAATGCAGCTTTAAATTTCCGGTTACTAGTCTGGCAATCGATCATAATTCGATCTTCGAACACTTCATAGATGACCGATCAGAAAACTTTTCACCAATCACCATCTCTAGTCCTGAGTATCAATAATGGTTAATATGTTGTTTTTTCAATTTTTTTTTAATACCCCAGTAACATTTATTGAAGCGTAAAATTAGTGTTTCGATTATATATATTAAATATTTGTATTTTATTATGAAACCATACTGTCAAATACACCTACTCTAAGTCTTACTTGAGGACGTTTTGCTATAGCAGTTGATAGTCCTTCAAGAGTCAAATCAAAGTTATCTAAATGATGGAATGGCAGTTGATCATTATAAGCATTACGTATATTAATATTCTCTAATTTCTCTAGTTTACGAATTATGTTTTTAATTGATGCATCATTTACAATTGATGATGAATTAAAAGTTATAATAGTAAGATCAGTAAGGTTAGGAAAAGCCTCCAAAAGTCGAATTAATCCAGTAGATGTAAACTTATTTCCAGAATTAAATGTGCATGACTGCACGTAAGAAAATGATTTTAATTTTGGAAGTAACGGAATATTGTAATCATTTATTTTATCTTTCTTTAATAGATCGATAGTCTTTAATAATGGTTTGTCATCCAAATCGCAGTTTTTGATTGTCAAAGTCTGTAGAGTTTTTGCGCAGATTCCCTGAAGAATAGACTTAAAACAAAATGTATAGTATATTATTACATACATCATCCATAGGTTAGAGTATTCAATTATAACGCACATACAATAACTGTGTTACTTGTTACTTGTCGGCACCATATTGTTAGCTCGGTGAGAGCACATCTTTCAGCAATATTCATGATACCATACCCGTGAAAATATCTTGATTCCTTATTATGGGTTCAAAATATTCACATGTTAGTGAATATATAAAAATGGTCAAACTTAAAAGCAATCAATTAAATATATCTTGTTTCATGATGCTAACAAGCGTAAGTTTCTTAAGATTTGTGCAATATTGTCCAATAGAAAAGGACAATGCATCACTCAAAAAAGGTGATGACCCGTGTAATTCTACTTGCTCCAAACTATCTCCGAATTTTGCGAAATAATCGGTCAAAGTTAAACTTTCATGACAATCGCGCCAATCTAATTCCAAAGTAAATACTACCAATCTCCAAGATGCATCAATACTAGCAAGCTTAAGCAATAAGCTTGCTAAATCAAATGAACGAGATCTCGAAGAAATTCTATTTGTTCTAGCAACTATATGTAAATTTCTTACATAATTTGCATATGGCAGTGTTGGGTTTGGTGAGGTAAGCACGTTGACAAATTTTTGTAACTGTTCAAAATATATGATTTGAACCTCCTTCCAAAAAAAAGGAACCGCGTTTCTAAAGAATTGAGAATTGACTAATAAACAATTCCGAAGATCTCCCACTTCAGCGTGGAATAATCGGAAAACTTCATACCAAATATCGTCTGCAAGATAAGCAGCATGAAGAAATGGTGCCTGCTTTTCTATCATCTGTAGGAAACTAAATCCAAAAAAATTAGGGGTGATAAAGTATGAATATCGATATCAATAGTTTATTTATTTCTTACCACACACTTCTATTATTTGTGATTGTCGAAGTTATTAATTCTCACGTTACACCAGATCTTGTCCCATGAATGACGTTGATTGGCTAGAATGGAGAAAATTGATTACGTTACAGTAACAGGAGCGACCGTCATCGTTACACAAATTGCAGATCACTTCCGAGATCCTCCCACCCAATCAAAATTACGAATT